TTTAATCTGTTCTAGTTTAAGTGTCTTTAATCTGTTCTAGTTTAAGTGTCTTGAATCTGTTCTAGTTTAAGTGTGTTTAATCTGTTCTAGTTTAAGTGTCTTTGATCTGTTCTAGTTTGTGTCTTTAATCTGTTCTAGTTTAAGTGTCTTTAATCTATTCTAGTTTAAGTGTCTTTAATCTGTTCTACAAACCGGATTCCAAAAAAGTTGGGACACTAAACAAATTGTGAATAAAAACTGAATGCAATGATGTGGACGTGCCAACATCTAATATTTTATTCAGAATAGAACACAAATCACAGATCAAAAGTTTTAACTGAGAGAATGTATCATTTTAAGGGAAAAATCTGTTGTTTCCAAATTTCATGGCGTCAACAAATCCCAAAAAAGTTGGGACAAGTCCATTTTTACCACTTTGTGGCATCCCCCCTTCTTCTTACAACACTCAACAGACGTCTGGGGACAGAGGAGACCAGTTTCTCAAGTTTAGAAATAGGAATGCTCTCCCATTCATGTCTAATACAGGCCTCTAACTGTTCAATCGTCTTGGGCCTTCTTTGTCGCACCTTCCTCTTTATGATGCACCAAATGTTCTCTATAGGTGAAAGATCTGGACTGCAGGCTGGCCATTTCAGTACCCGGATCCTTCTCCTATGTAGCCATGATGTTGTGATTGCTGCAGAATGTGGTCTGGCATTATCGTGTTGAAAAATGCAGGGTCTTCCCTGAAAGAGATGACGTCTAGATGGGAGCATATGTTGTTCTAGAACCTGAACATAGTTCTCTGCATTAATGGTGCCTTTCCAGACATGCAAACTGCCCATGCCACATGCACTCATGCAACTCCATACCATCAGTGATGCAGGCTTCTGAACGGAGCATTGACTTGGGCTATCCTTGTCCTCTCTGGACCGGATGACATGGCATCCCGGTGTTCCATAAAGAACTTCAAATCGTGACTCATCTGACCACAGAACAGTCTTCCATTTTGCCACACTCCATTTTAAATGACCCCTGGCCCAGTGCAAACGTCTGAGCTTGTGGAGCTTGCTTAGAAATGGCTTCCTTTTTGCACTGTAGAGTTTCAGCTGGCAACAGCGGATGGCACGGTGGATTGTGTTCACTGGCAATGATTTCTGGAAGTATTTCTGAGCCCATTCTGTTATTTCCTTGACAGTGGCATTCCTGTTTGAGGTGCAGTGACATTTAAGGGCCCGGAGATCACGAGCATCCAGTAGAATTTTACGGCCTTGACCCTTACGCACAGCGATTGTTCCAGATTCTCTGAATCTTTTGATGATGTTATGCACGATTGATGATGATAACAAAAGTCTTTTCTATTTTACGCTGAGTAACACCATTCTGGTATTGCTGCACTATCTTTCTGTGCAACAATGATGGAATTGGTGATCCTCTTACCATCTTGGCTTCTGAGAGACACTGACACTCTGAGAAGCTCTTTTTATACCCAATCATGTTGTCAATTGACCTAATTAGTGTTAATTGGTCTTCCAGCTGTTCGTTATATGCTCAATTTCCTTTTTCCAGCCACTTATTGCTACTTGTCCCAACTTTTTTGGGATTTGTTGACACTGTGAAATTCTGAATCAACATATTTTTCCTTTAAAATGTTACATTTACTCAGATTAAACTTTTGATCTGTCATCTGTTATATTACGAATAAAATATTGACATTTGCCATCTCCACATCATTGCATTCAGTTTTTATTCACAATTTGTTTAGTGTCCCAACTTTTTTGGAATCCGGTTTGTAGTTTAAGTGTCTTTAATTTGTTCTAGTTTAAGTGACCAAAATGATCATGAATTTAAAAAAGCATAACATTTCAAATGATTCAAAATGTATTTTGTTGCAGTGAGAGGAGCTTCTCACGCATCTGAGAGCAGAAAGAGAGAGATGTTCAAATATGTAGAATAAAAAGAGCCATTGAATAATGTTTACAAATTTGAAGTTTTGCATTTGTAACTGTTTTTCACTCAGTCTTGTTTTATTGTGGCAATCCCTAACCCACACACAAACACACATTTGCCTATTTTGACTTTGAATTCTGCTCAAATTATTCAATAGTGTTGAAATCACTCAATTAAAGTTTCACAAATCAGATAAAGGTTTGACAAATCACAGAGTAGGATTTAATTATTCTGCTATTAGTGTAGAATAATCTAGTCCAGGTTAAGTATTTTAGTCTTTAAACCAGAACAGATTAAAGACGCTCATGGTAGTGAAAAATTAGGTGGAATCACCCTTTAGATATTTCTCGAATTGGAAACTGCAATCGGAAGCCAACTTAATGCTTCATGTTTAATTTTATTATTATTGTTAATATTTCACAATTTTAAGATAGCAATGTTGTATGTATAATAATAATACAACAATCTTTATTACAGTTGTCTTCAACTACAAATGCTGAAACACAAATCGTTGTCAACACATCAGATGCAGCAGTACGGTGGCCAGAAGATGTAATTTATCCAACAAAAATGCACCACATTTATGCAGACAGGCTACACAAACAACATCTTCTTCGGCCAAGTCTTTCCTCTTCATCCGTTTGGTCCTCCTCATCTTCATTACCCCTTACGAGTTCTACATTGACATGAATTTCAGTGCGCTCTGGTTCAAACTGAAAAGGAGTAATATTACTCATAGCTCATACTCATTACTCATTTTTATTTTTATTTTTTTGTTGTTTTGCTTTGTTTTGGTGTTTTTTTTTTTTTTTTTTTAATGTCCAGAGGACCAGATTTAACTTTTTTAGATTACTCATAGCTGTTTTGCCTGGACAGAGCTAGCACTACAGGACCTAGGACCATCATTTACCCAGAACGCATTGCATCATAAACAGCATGGCAACATCAGTGTGACAATATTTTATTTTAATTTATAAAAACTAAACCACCTATGATATTTTTACTGTATTGTTTTTACATCTAAAATAAATATTTCTCAAATAAAGTCTCTTGTTACAACTAATCGTGGATCCCTTTAGTGTTTGGGATCTGTTGGTGGATTTTACTTTTGTTTTAAATTAAATGTCCAGTTAAATTACAGCATTACAGTAATACGGGCTCTGAAACAGAATGTGGCTCCTTTTAATCTTGATTAGTTGTAAAAAAAAGTCAAATAAATCTGAAATTATTGTTTTAATCAAAAAAGTTCTGCATTATCATCTTAAATCTTCAGACTGTAGCCTGTCAGAGAGGACTCTACTGACACATGATCACAGGGAATTCTGGGAAAAACTGTGTGCCTGGGTGACACCAACTCAGCAGGGAGGTGGAATTGACATCTTTTGCCCGCTGGCAGCATCTGGTAACACACATGCTAAAAACACACACACGTGTGTAATAGAACTAAACTCACGTCCTATGTGTCGATTCTTCGCAGCATCAGGTGTGACTCTTCTTCAAAGCCTTTCTGCTCTGACGGATCTGCAGGTTAGAGCGCCAGCGGGTCTCGTTACTGGAAGCTTCCAGAACAGTGAGTTTAGTTACTTGGAAACTAAAATTTAAAGCTAAACAAAATGCATTTAAACCATTTAATGAGTCTATGTTTGTGTTAAAAGATTGTCTTAGGATTATTATTTATATTCATTTATCTTTTATGACTGTTGCCTAATCAGTATGAAATGTTCCTTTTATATTTAGCTGTTTAGTGTACAAATCAATTAAATTCAGGTCCAGGTGTACAGTACTTTCTATTGGAAGTAGGGGTGCACCGATTGCAGTTTTCTGGCCGATCACCGATTTCTAAAAAAGTCTGACCTGCCGATTCCGATTTTGGCCAATACCGACTTTGTTTTATAATCGACACTGTCAGGTGTTACAAGGTTGCAATGCACCTTCAATTGTCCAATATTATTTTATTGAAAAACATGCCCTTGAACAATATTCTAGAAACAATACAAAGCTGTTTTAACTGGCCATGAGGTAGTGCTCTGAAATATAAATTAAGTTCAGACAATTGTTGTTAAAACTAAAGCAATCTGTAAAATTGGTTTCTCATGCAAGTATCGGCCGATTTCCTATTTCCTAAAAATAAGGAAATTGGGGCCGATAAATTGGCCGGCCAATTTATCGGTGCACCCCTAATTGGAAGAAAGATTAAAAAAACACATGTTAAGATAGAAATACTTACAAACAGGTAGAGTAGAGCAAGTAAAGACAGCAGCAGAGTCGGGAAATAGTTTGTCCTCCGGTAGACTAAGCCTATAGCAGCGTAACTAAGGGATAGCTCAGGAAACCCAACCCTAACTGTATAATTTATCAAAAAGGAAAGTCTTCAGCCCAGTCTTCAAACTGGACAATGTGTCAGCCTCACGGACAGGAACTGGAAGTTGGTTCCACAAAAGAGGAGCCTGGTAACTGAAAGATCTTCCTCCCATTCTGCTTTTGGAAACTCTAGGAAACACAAGGAAACCTGCAGTCTGAGAGCGAAGTGCTCTGTTAGTAAAATATGGAACAATAAGATCTGTAATTTAAGATGGAGCTAGGTTGTTGAGGGCTTTGTGGCTTAGAAGTAAAGTTTTGAATTCTAGATGTGATAATTGCATGGACCAGTTTTTCTGCATCCTTTTAGGACAAGATGTTTCTAACTATATTGATATTGTGCAGGTGGATAATTCAAAGGAATCTTAATTTTGAATATTTTTTTTCCAATTACTGTACACTCATTTAAACAATCCAAAAACATTGTCACGTCTGATTTCACTTTTTGTAGACTTTATCAGAGCAGTTACCCAAACCACTGATTGCTCTAATCAGTCAGAACATTTACACCTTTAGTTTAAAACTTGCTTGAAATAATCCAATAATTCTCAGCCGGGTCATCTGGACAGTTTCTTTTTTATAGAGATGTTTCACCCTCTATCTGAAACCATCTTAGCTCCAGCAAACTGGTTGGTCCACTTAAGGAGTTTACTGCTTGGTGGGGAAACCGTTTACTGGAACTCCTCTGAATGATGAAGCTCTCTGGATAGAGGGTGAAACGTCTCTATAAAAAAGATACTATCCAGATGACCCAACTGAGAATTATTGGATTTGGTACCTGTATGATTGAGCATGAACTTTGTTGGCTTGAAATAAGTTACTAAAATGAGCTTGTTAAGATGAACATTGTTCGTGATCAGATGCCATCAGACATGTTTTATAGATGTTGAGAGAAAACATACAAAAAATAAAGTTTTCCATCTTTATGAAGTTCTCAGTGAGTGGTCTGGTGGTGACGATGGTGCTGCACTCTTGGACCAGCACCCAACAGCTCCGGCGCTGCAGTATATGAGCGATGGTGTGCTGCAGGCCTGGTGCAGACAGGCTCAGTGGATGGAGGAGGCCCTGCAGGAGCTAAGGAGAACTCTGGAGGTGCAGCTGCAGCAGAGCAGCCTGCAGGCCAGAGGCCGAGCTCTGGGTACGTTTAGGTGAAATTCAAGCAGCACTCCACATTGATCAAGTTAAAACACGTGCTTATGTCTCTTTAAGGTCATTTTCTGTGGGAGAAGCTCTGCCTCGATAAGATGTGTGTGTCCAGAGAACTGAGTGAGGCTCTGACAGAAGGACTCACTGCTCTCACTGAACAGGAGGAGGTACAAAGTCATTTAAACTAGAAGAATGACATTTTCTTTGAATAAACAGAGTGCACACTGATGGTTTGTGACAAAGCTGAAACTGAGGGTAAAAGCTAAAAGTAAATAAAAGGTAGCTAAAAGTTAACAGCAGCAAAAGGTTTGCAATAGGCTAGCTAAAATTAACAAAATCTTAATGGAAAGTACGCAGAAGTAAACATATTTGAAAAATCTAAAAAGGCTCAACACTAGCTAAAACGTAAAATAGCCAAACACTGGTTAAAATGTAAAACTAATTAAATTTTCTGAAGAAGCTCAAACTGAGTGGAAGCAGGCTAAAAAGTAAAACTAGCCGAAAACTGGTCAATAGGTAAAAATGGCAAAAAAAGCTAGTTAAAAGTAGGCAACAAAAAAAAAAAAAAAAAAGAAAAAAGCTAACCGCAGCAAAACATAACAGTTTGCTAAAATTATCAAATTCCTAAATTGGCACAAACCTACATAAAAGTAGCAAAAAGTTAACCTGAAGCTAAAAGAAGAAGAAAAAAAAACTAATGGGTAAATGTAACGAAAGGCTAACTAAAAGCTGAAAGTACCCATAGGTTATCTAAGGTAACAGAATGGTAGCTAAAAACTAAATATAAATCTAAAAACTCCTCAGGACAAGACTCAGCTGTTCACCTCCACCTCACTGATAAGGGACACTCTTTTGAGGACCAAAATGTGCACATTTTGGACCGAGAGCACAGATGGTTTGAGAGGGGGGTGAAGGAAGCAATTTATGTTAAAAGAGAAAAATGAATGTTGAGGTCTCTCTTGTAAATGAGTCCTCGAGGCTCAATGGGATTAACCTGTCTAAATAAAGGTTGAATGAAAAATAATGTCTCTTAACAGAGGAGGAGGCCTCAGATTTCCACATTCTAAAACCTATAATGCAACTTTAAGACTGATTCCCAGCCAGTTTTCACACCTGATGAGAACAGAGGGGCCTCATCTGTGAATTAGATTAACAAAGACCTTAAGAAACCCCTACTGTTAAGGTGTGAGGTGTGAATTGTCAATCTATGTACGTGTATCTTATTTCAGCCTTATAACCTGAACCCCTCACTCACTGCTCTTTGAATTGCGAAAGCTCCTCGGATGAGGAGCGCAACGTCTTCTGTTACAAGTAAAGTCCAGTTCTTTTTGTATTGAACGTTTTTGAATTTATTATGTTCTGGATGACTGAGAATCTTCACCAGCGTAAATGTAGCACAAGAACAACATAAGTAGAGAGAACAATGTTCTTAAAGGAACTGAAGATCTCAATCTGTTTCTATCAAGAAACTATTAGTTCAAGTTCAAGTGGGTTTTATTGTCATTTCACATGTAGTGGAACAAAATTATGTACACCGTCCCAGTTACATCAAACAATAGCAAAAATATAAAGTATAAAATGAAACAGTAAATAAGGATCTAAGATATAAACAAAGAAATATGCTAAACGCTAATAGTGCAAAACAATACACTGAACAACAGCAGCATGAATGAGTCTGTGTGAGTAGATGAGTACATGAATGAATACAGCAGCATGAAATAATCAGCAGCATGAGATCAGCAGCATGGATAATCAGCAACACATATCACCAATCGAAGTGACATTACAGTGCTTTTATTTTATTTTCACAGTGATAAACCTGATTAGGGATTTATGAGTCTAACAGCTTCAGGGTAGAAGCTGTTAGCTTAGCAAATAATAATAGCACAAGCTTAGCAAATAAAGTTAAAATTGTTGAAAAGTATAAAGTTTTAAAAAAAATCACTGGGCCCATTTCATAAATAAGCTGAACATTTTGATATAGGAACAGCTAAAATAACACAAAGCATGCAGAAGTACATGGATTATAAAAATGCAGCATTCACACTACAATTTTAAAAGCAGAACTACAGCAGAATAAAGTAATGCTTTTATGCATTGTAAATCCCAGTCTGGTCTGGACCGGCCACAGTCGGCCCAGCCCCGCTCTGGTTTTATTTGCTTTCAGAAGAGTTCTGCCTCGATGTGGGTGGGACCTTCATAGCAAGACCACGCAAATCTCAGCAATAACAGCACCTCGTCGTTTGTCCAGGGTACTGGTGCTACTTTTTGCATTTCCATTTTCTTTAAAGAAAAATAGGAGCTCTAACACACAGCCAGCCAGAAACAGGTAGCTGAAGGAAATGGTGGTAAGAAGCAGTAGCTGGAGGTATGACTCATCTGTGACATGACCCTCCAGGCCAGCGAACTAATCAGTGACCAGCAGACGTCAAATCTGCAGCTCCAGCCCCGCCCGAATGGAACCCCAGCTTTCTGGGTTCCAAAAATCAAGCTGGAACTGAGCTAGACTCCCAGTGCCAACACTCAAAACCTGGCGCAGAACCTAGGTCGGGCCAGTCCAAGCTGGGCCGGGTCTTACATTGCCTACGGACTAGGGCTGGGCGATGTATCAAATATACTCGATGTATTGAAAATACTCAATGTATCACAAGTTTTTCAATCTACGATGGTTAAAACGACTCTGTCGCAACCATCGAATATTATTAAACTTGAACATCCACGTAGTTCTTTTTCTCCCATCTACGCCAACGTCACACGGCTTTGACTCAGAAAAACATTTTTGTTATTACTTTATGGAAAGAAAAAAATATTGAGGTATATATTGTGTATCGTGATTTATCTTAAAAATATTGACATATTAATTTTGCTCCATATTGCCCAGCCCTACTAAGGGCCATAAGTTTGTTCAGCTGTATATCTTCTCACATCTTCAGACCAGACCACTGGAGTTTCTGTCCTCCTTCCTGCTGCAATGGAGTGAAGAGGAAAACGAAGAAGACTCATCTTTGGTTAAAAAGGATTCCCTCCCAAATACAAGTCTCTTACTGGAGCAGCCACAGGTTTGCACATTTGCAACTTTTTAACAAACGAGATAAAAAAAAAGAATATGTAACAAATCAAATATATTTCGTCTCCAGATGGCTTTAGATTGGAGAGGTTTGGTTGCGAGAGAGCTGCACCACAGCGAGGGTCTTTACCTGAGAAGACTGAGTTCCATCCTGAAGGTAGATTAAGGTTAATCTTTCAACTCAGTATTTAAAGAAAAAATATCAGCTCAACAATTTATCATTATAAACATAGATACTTTTTAGCTCACCACTGTAAAAGGCTGGTGGTCATGTTCCCGCCTGAGTTTGTGTGCAGATAGTTGGTAAAATATTTAATCAACCAGTGGAGACATTTCAATGAACTCTCAAAATAATTATTGGATGAATGTTTACAACAGATACACTCAACGCAAGATGTCTGTGGCTAACTGATCCTAGCAAACACAAAACTGGCTACCACTCAGTGAGTTTTACAGATGTTGAGCTAAAATTTGGTGTGGTAGTAGCTAAAAGTCATCAACTAGCTAACGGAGGTATATGGTCTGGTTTCCATCAAGAATGCTCCATTTTATGTAAAAACCTGGAATAATCTGCAGTGGTTCCCAACCCTGGTCCCTGAGGAACACCGTCCTGCATATTAGTTGTTTCCCTGCACCAACACACCCTTTTCAGTGATTTAATTATTTCAACAAGTTCTGCAGAAGCCTGATAATCACCCATTCATTCAATTCAAGTGTGTCAAAGCAGGGAAACAACTAAAACATGCAGGATGGTGTTCCTCAGGGACCAGGGTTGGGAACCATTGCATTAGGGCAATGTTTGCAAAGCATCAACAAACCTTGAAGTTGTTTTTAATGTTTTGCAACAAAAAAATGTTTTTGTTGTCTGAGTTTACATGATAAATGTGCCGAAATGCATATGCAACAATATACCACACCTCACCCACAAAAAGCCATTTTACAGAATAGATTATGTGGAAGTTTCTGTATACTGTATATTTGTAAAATGTGTGTTATTTTCTTCATGATTTATATTACTTAGTTTTGTGAAGTACTGTAGCAATTTTACTTTTGTGATTGTTATTTTAAATGTTTTTGTCTTGTTTTGGGTCATATATTTTTTAATGATCTGTTTTGGTTTACCTCTATTCAATCACAAGGGTATATTTGGCCCTGGGAGGCCACCGTAGAAACGTGTTAATATGGTAAAATAAATTTCACTGATGTGTTGAAGGTGTATCAGGAGCCTCTGACAGCAGCTCTGAACTCCAACAGAGCCATCCTCAGCTACGCTGACATCGAAATAATCTTTAGTCAAGTTACAGTAATACAACAGCTGAACAGGTACACACACACACACCTCTAGTTTTCCTGCTTAGAGGACCAGATGTATGTTAACACACATGTTGCAGTGTGTTTCAGGCAGACTTACAGACCAGGATGCAACAATGGGCTGCAGATCAGTGTGTTGGAGATGTTTTTCTGAAGCTGTGCTCCAAACTGAGCGTCTACACCAACTACCTGAACAACTACACCCTCACCCTCGGCACCATTGATAAGGTAAAGTCAGCATGTTGCTCAGCTACCTCTCTAAAACAAGATTTTTCAGAGAAATTACAGTACCAAGAAGAAATTAGACATCTTCAACACGTCAACCAAAGGTTCATTTTTATATCAAATCAAGTTGATGCTGGTTCATTTAGTAAAAACAGATTTTAGAGAGACTTCTGAGGAGTTGCATTCAGGCCTAAAAAATTCGACCCGACCTGAGCCTGTAGGCATTTTGTCCGAGCCCGACCCGACCCAACCAATTTGCCTTGAATTACAGGACTGCTTTTGTAAGCAAATCAGTTTGACATTATATTTTCAAAGAAAAGAAGATATAAGATTTTTTTGTTTATTACCAAGTCACCAAATTGATATTAACATACAAAACGAATAGCCTAAAAAAAAAAATCAACTCTGAAGATAGACTATTACACAGATGAACAAAAATATTTTTACACCAAAATTATTTGGAAAAATATAGAACAAGGTTGTTTTAGTTGAATGCGCTGCACGCTTTGGCTTTTGTTGCTTCAGATGCTGCAACTTACTTCACTGCAGATGACAACAGGTTGTGACTGGAGCGGGACGAGCACAGTCGACGGTCCGGTTGTCCATCTGAAGCTTAACGCAACTTTTTTTAACTTCTTTCAACGGCTGGTCAGCGGGACGCGCACGGCCGATGATCCGGTTGTCCATCTGAAACTTAACGCAGCTTTTTTTAAAACCTCTTTCAACCAACCAATCAGCGTTTGCGCAAAGCTGATGATCCGGTGGTCCATCGGAAGTTTAACAAAATTTTTTTTTTTACCTCTTTCAACCGGCCGGTCAGCGGATGCGCACGGCTGATGATCCAGTTTTCATCTGAAGCTTAATGCAACTTTTTTTTTACTTCTTTCAAACAGCCAGACTTTTTTTTACCTCTTTCAACCGGCCAGTTAATGGACGTGTGCAGCCGATGATACTGTTGTCCATCTGAAGCTTAACATGGCTTTTTTTTTACCTGAGACCTGAGCGTGCACCTGACACACATCAGCAAGTTTCACTGTGCTGACTTTGTAGAGTGAGTTTGACATTTTTTAGCTTTTCTTAATTCTTTCCAGCTCCATTATATCACTTTTTTTGTGGGTCAATTGCAAATCCTCAGATGTGTGATAAGAGCAAAGGGTGGGCGGGGTCACACGCGCAATTAAAACTGCATCCAAAGCCCGAGCCAGACCCAGCCTGCCCATCAAGCACATAATTTTGGTCTGGCCTGGCCAGAATTTTGGGTCGGGCACAGGCTCAGGCCAGAAATCGCAACTCTAGAACAAAGTAGAAAAATTAGTATTTTGTTTGAAAATACAGTGTGATCTCTTGAGTGCTGAAGCACGGTGCTGAAATTTGTTAGTAACTAAAACTAAATAGTTCAAATACTGTATTTTTTGGACTATAAGGCGCACTTAAAATCTGCACCTTATAGTCCAAAAAATACGGTAATCACAATGTTATCATAAATGTAAATCATAAATGTTCAAAATAAACTAAAAACTGAAATTGGTTAAAAAAAAAAGTACATTGAAGACGAAGTCAACAAAACAGTAGCTAAAATCCAAAACTACCAAACAGCAGCTGAAAGTTAAATTTATCTAAATCACAGCTAAAAGCTGAAACTAACAATAGTATACCTGAAACCTAAAATGATCAAAACAGCAGCTAAAAATTAACATGAGTAAAACAATAGCTAAAACTAGCAAGTGTAGCTACAAGCTAACATCAGCTTGTTTTAGCTATTGCAAACATTAGCTAAAAGTTAACATTAGCAAAACCATATCTAGATGCTAAATTGAGCAAAACAGTCACTCAGAAAATAAAGCTCAAAATAAAGTATTCTAACATTTATTTAAAAGAGTACAATGTTTTTCAAAGATTTAAAGAAATCTCAAAAATTATTTTATGTGGAAAATATTTAAATATAGGTTATCAAAAGTTATAAAATCAGCCAAAAATGTATCACTATAACGTTCAGAACAAGCTGAGTGTTTTGTTACTTAAATGACTGAAATAGCTGAAAGTATGCTGAAGTTGCATTAAATGCATGTTTGCTGTAAATAAGAAAAGTTTATCAGTCATTAATTTTTCTTTAACTGATGTGCAATAAAATTGGCATTCAAGATGTGCATCTGGAAAACACTGTTTTAAATTAAAGTCGCAACTTTATTTCATTGATTATATTTGAACAATCTAAATGTAGCAGCAACCAAACAAATATGATTATTTATTTATTTATGGTTGTTATTTTTCTTTCTTTTTTTATTAATCACAAATCAAGTTCATATACATTTTTATCATTGAAAACACAATTGTATATGTAAAGTTCCACGTGTCTGATAGCTACAGTTTTATTGTTGCAAGTTGAAGTTTGCACAGAAAGTTTTAGGACACATCCAATAATTAAAGTGCTTCAGTGCAGGGAGGCGAAACCAGCATTTCGGGCTTTTCTGAAGAGAGCAGACAGAACTCTGTCAACACACATGCTAAGGTAAGAGCTTGAACACAGTAATGATCATCCACACTGATCAAAAGGACAGGATAAATCTTAAAGCTAATATCTTACCTGTGCTAGATAGCTCTTTCAATGGCCTCAGTTTGAAAAAGATAAAGTATTGTTGGTCTGAGCAATTTAAAAAACAAAGCAAATTGCTGTTATCTTAAAATGACTCTTATCTCCAAGATTTCATAGCAGTTTGTGTGACAAATGTTATGCTAAAGAGCTCAAACCACACCGAGCATCCGCTATGTCACCATGTCAGCCATGCAAGGGCGTCAGAAGCATGTGTAATGTGGGGGGACACACTGATGTGTGTGTGTGTGTGCGTGTGCTCGTGTGCGCCAGGCGCGCGCACCAGTGTGCAAAAAAGTGTACACTAGTGAATAAAAAAAGCAACATTTCACCTATATTTTCTTACTTTAATTTTACACATTCAAAGCATGTTTCGCACCAAGTTTATTCAGCTGTGGGTTTTAAAGACATTTTAACTTTAATGCACTTGAACACACAGCCTCAGGTCGGCACTATTTGTGTTTATAGAGAAATAAAAAACATTACCTATAGACATTTTTACTTGTGTTCAACACTACTCATCTAAAGGATGTTTCTCACAACGTTTGAGCACAATAAGGTGTGGGGTTTTAAAGATATTTCTACTTTAATGCTCCTGAACACACAGCGTCTCTTACACCTGCAGCGTCTTACAGCGTCACAGTTAAGCTAAGCTAAGATGCTACAGACGTAGCTCTCCACTTCTCTCAAGTATCCTCCTAATCATGTATATATGTTTATGATCAACCCTCCCGGTCAACTACTGCCTGCACTAAGCATAGCTAAAAGCTGGCGAGCGAGTAACACAGGTGTCTCCCCATCTTCCAACTGTGAGCGTTCTCTGCTGAGGCAGGAGACACAGAGGAGGAACACTGCAGGCTGATGGAGAGTTACAGGTAACCAGGAAAACCTGGAGTGGAGTTTTAGTGGTTTGAGTATTTTCCTATTAATCAAGTGGAATGGATTTGTTCACGTATGAAACAGCGCCGACTGAACTTAATGGTAAAAGTGTGTGTGTGTTTTTTTAATGGGGGGGGGGGGGGGGGGGCATGTCCCTTCACATATAATGGTTGCAACGCCTATGCAGTCATGTCACGTCAAGAGCTCTCCCTCCCATTTTTCTTAGACACGCTGCTTAACTATCCAGCCTTCAGTTCAAACAGTCATATACTTCCATCCAGTGGTCAAAAAAGGTACTACACTAAAAACAAATCAACATTTCTTCTACCAATTGTTAAATTTCAAACAATATTATCGTTTATTACAATAACTTCTGAGACAATTAATCGCCCAGCAAAATTTGTTATCATGACAGGCGCTCAGAGTTGAGCTGCTGCTCCTCATCCAAAGAAGTCAGCTAGGATGACTTCCTAGAGCCTCCCTTTGGAGTTCTTCTCGTTAGAAGAACTAGAAATTGCCATTTCTTTTGAAAATGCAGTGCGAATGCTTATGTTGAAAACCAGCTAAAAAAAATCTGAAAATATCTAAAGACATGCTGACATGTAGGTGAAATGGAAGAACAAGCCTAAGGTAGCAGAAGAAAGCAGAAAGAACACATATTTGCTGAATTGGGGTTAAATAATCAGAAATTAACACAAAATGTTGCAACTTGTATAAAAAAGCTGAAATTAGCACCAAAAAAATAGCTGAAAGGTAGCTGAAAAGGCAGAAAGAAGCTTAAACTACTAGACGCGGAAGGAGCTGAAATGAGCTAAAAATGTGAAATCAACTGTAAAAACTAAATTTAGCACAAAACAGCTAAATAGTATCTGAAATAGCAGTAAAAAATGAAACTAGCAGAAATAAGCTGACAGCAGCATAAGATAAAATTAGCAGAAATAAGTTAATTTGGCTGAAAGTAGCAGAAAATACCACAAAAATCTTAAAATTATCTGAAAAGAGCTGAAATTAGCTAATAATGCAAAAAATGTAGCTGAAAAGGTAGAACAAGCATAACTTAGCAGAAGAAAGTGCAGAGAGCACAATTTTGCCCAGTTACGCCAAAAGAAGCAGAAAAAAGAAAAAAGTGGAAATTATCTGGAAAAATGCTGAAATTAACAACAACAAAAAAAAACTGCTGAAAAGTAGCTAAGAAAGCAGAAAGAAGCTTAAGTTACTAGAAAGAAGTGGAGAGAGCACATTTTTGCTGAATTAGGCTGAAAAAAGTTGAAATGATTCCAAAAAATGTAGACAGCATAAAAAGTTAAAATTAGCATATAAACAGCTAAATTGTGGCTGAAATGGCAATAACAGCTAAAACTTGAAAGAAATAAGCGGAAATTAGCATAACAAGCTGAAACTGGCAGTGAGTAGTTTGAAGAAGCACAAAAATGTTTTAGTTAGCAGAAAGAATCTGAAAGGAGCACAAAACAGCTGGAAAAAATGGCTGAAATTAGCTGAAAATAGTTGAAAATAGCTGAAATAAAGTTTAAATCTGTACAAGGAAGCTGAAAGAAGCTGAACCAGAACAAAATGTGAAAGGAGCAGTAAAAGTTTAACAGATCTAAAAATTTGAAGCATGTAAAATGAGCTCAATTCATTTTCTACGATAAAAAAAAGTGGCCGACAAGGCTAAATATTTCAAAAAGCTAAAGTTGCACCAATACCAATAACAGGATTGTCCTGAAAGAGCTGAACATTTTGATTTTTGATTTGTTGAAATAACTGTGTGCGCTGCTGTGTGTCTGTGAAGCCTTCAGGAGTTGCTGCTGTGTCCGGTGTGGAGGATCCAGGAGTACGTGACTCTTCTTCAAGCTCTGTCTTCAAACACCCAACTTGATCACCCTGACCACACACACCTCTGCACGGCCCTCAGCACCATGCTGCGACTCAGACACTTCATACAAACGGTACAACACAAAGCTGTTTGACACTCAGTTAGACTGAATGTAGTTTTGTTTTTGGCTGTTAATTATTGTTAATTTATGTTTCAGATCAGGCGAAACTTTGAGACTGACCGGCTGTTAGAGGAAACACAGCAAATGATACAAAACTGCCCTGTGAGAAAACACACCTCTAGCCTGACCTCCCAGTCTGCTTTTTTTTATTCTGATTTGCATAAAATCTTATAAAACATGCATGGAGAATGGTTTTGAGTGTATTTCTTATACGTGTGCAGAGCCTCAGAGAAGGAAACAGGCAGCTGATAAGAAGTCAGGACGCGGTGCTGCTCAGGAGCCCAGACGACCAGATTCCAGACTCTCTACGGTAATGAAAGGCCTCTGAAGTCTCTTATACCAGATTTAGGGTCAAAACTTTGAAAAATAAAATATATATGCAAAACACCTTTTACACTCAAAAAAATTGTTGAGGATTACTCATCTACTACTACACTAAATTATATTTCAGTTAAAAAAAACATGTTTATAGTTTTCAATTTCTTGAAACGCAGTTGATCTGTTGTAGGCAGGGCTTAATTTGTAAACTGATCAGTGGGGGATGGGGGGGGTCTTGGGGTTCTCCCCCAGAAAGTTTTTAATAAAGTAAATGTGATTTCCTGCATTTTGGTGTGTTTTAACAGTTGTTAAACATCTCCGTTTACCATATTTTCCAGATTATACGTTGCTCCGGAGTATAGGTCGCCTCAGTCAAAAAATGCCTCATGAAGAGGAAAAAATTGCATTTATTTTGAAGTGTGTTTCACAAAGTGCAGAAACAGACATTTAATCTGTAATAACAATAACGCACAGAACATACCTGGGATGCTGAACAGGCTTAATTAACATAACAAGCCAACGAGTCCGACATGCAAGTTACCATCCTCGGTGTTGCTTCTGAACAACTCCAGAGGAAGATGGGGGGGGGGGGGGGTAGCAGAAGAGGAACAACATATATTGTACTTTCCACCATACTCGTTGCACTGCCCTATACTGTAAATCACGTCAGTCCAACTATGTCTAAAAAAAGTGTTTTTTTTTTTTTTTTTTAGGGGTGTATACTTTATAAATAAAGATGGATTGGATTGGAAAAAAGTAGAAAAATCCATAAATATGTTGCTTCACTGTATACGTCGCATCTATTATGTGTCACTGCTGACGTGTTACGTTTGTTACGCATCACCGCTGACAACCTGGAAATGTGGGCTAAACACAGAAATGCGGGCTGATGTTGTTCCAAAAATTGATGGGCTGCCAAACAGTGGCCGCGGGAGCGTGCACAGGAGGACTTTAACATGATTTAACAAGATTAACACTTATAAACAATTATTTGTTTGCTCAGAATTATAGTAAAGGTGTGTCTCAGTCTAACGTTTGTTTAATAAATGCACTTTGATGGTCAAATCAACTGTATTCGCTGCCTCGGTGCTCCAGGAGCGCGCAGACAGAGAGGAAAAAAGAAAGCGGAATGCTGCTCGTTTCTTCGAAATTTAACAAGAAACAAGCAGCGAGCAGAACGAAGGCGGGGGTACTATGGCAAGCTGATTGTGTCATTAATAGCTGGTGAAGATTCTCAGTCATCCAGGACATGGTAAATTCATAAAGTTCAAGACAAAAACAATAAAGTATAAAGTATAATACATAAAGTCCAGTTGTTTTTGTCTTGAATTTGTCATTATAGCCACATTTACCTTTTACATGATACAGCGGCATGCCATACAACTACTACTACTCAGCTGCTATTTAGTGGCTAAAAATAGTACTGTTCAAAAAAAAAATTCCAGTCAGAATGAATGAAAAGGGTCATATCTCAGCCAAAAATTGGTTTATAAACATGGGAAAAAAATCCATAAATATGTTGCTTTGGCCTATATGTCGCAGGACGTGTAAATTATGCAAAAAAAATGACTTGTAGGCCAAAAAAATACAGTAGTTGTCAAAAGCCTAGAGGGCCCTCTCGCGACTGCAAATGGTAATGTTTACTCTTTGATTCATGTCAGTATGAATGAACATTTAACACGTCAGTCAAAAATTGCATCATGAATAGGGGGAAAAACGTATAAGAATAAAATAAAATATACTTCATTGTCCCCTTGGGGAAATTTGGCATGGACTCAGGGATGTATGTTGCATAGTAGCAGCTGCCCAAACAGACAATAAATACACATATAATTCATATAAACAGCTAAAAAAAAACACAACAGTGTAAAAGACAACAGCAGAGACACACAACACCAAGTCGTGTCGGACTATACGTCGCTAGATTGGCCAAACTATGAAAAAAGAATTACTTATAGTCTGGAAAATACAGTACCTATATTTGTTAACACTCCACTTCTGTCAAGCATCCTAGCTGGTATTTTGACAAATTAGGACTGTTGTTTTGATACGTAGTGTGAATAATACACATCAAACATTTATCTCGTTGTATTTTAAATAAATAATAAAAAATATGTATAAATGACAAACTATCAAACTAATTTGCAATTTCGTTGTGCTGTTTAATTATATTTTTGAGTTTTTAAATAAAATTTCATGATGACTTTGGACTTTTAGGTGCAGAATTTTTTTTGAAGCGTAGAGGTGGAAACGCTTACTTGAAGGAGCAGCTTGTATGTGATATTTACAAGCTTTTAAGTGGCTGTTGTGTTTAAAATGAGTGTTTATGTAATTATTTTCAGATTACATATCCAATATACGTTTTTTCGTTCAAGGCAGTCATATTTGTTCATAGCTTTATTGTTTGTAAGCCTGAGAGTTACCGAATCCAAGCAAAAAATTACCGGAACACACCCTGTCAAAATAAAAGAGTTCCCAGATCCTGTTCTGGCAGGATCCAGCTCATATTAAGCACTGGTTGTAGATGTGCATGTGTTGATTACCTTCTGGTTGTTCTATGAAATTCCATCCAGTGGTTCATGAAATATTTTGCTAACATACAAAAAAAGCATGTGCATATGTACATATAGACAAAAACTTGTGTTAATTGGGTTCAAATTACAGTACTTTAAAAGCTTTTGTCTTCTGCATTTTTGAAACGGAAACATTCCAAATATAAAAGTGTTTTCATCTAGAAAATGTCCTTTTTTAAAATTTATTTAGAGTTTATTTTTATTTTTTATGCCTGATCAGGACCTTTGAGCAGGTTGCAGATGTTGGACTCTTCCTGTTTAATGACGCTTTGGTGTTGACTCGGAGAAAAGTGCACCACACTCCGTTCACGGTGTCCCACCGGAGCACACACACCTTCCTGGCTTCTGTGGCTCTCAGCAGCCTGAGCGTCAGAGAGATAACGCACACACGCTGTGAGTTTTTACAGTTTTTATACAATCTGGCTCTCGCACAAATCACATTTGACCTGTGAAAACCTTCCTGCTGGTTTGTGTTCCTCGCTGCAGATGTGAGCCATGCGTTTGTCCTGGAGGGTCCGACCCGTTCTTGGGTTTGTGCCACAGATAGAGGCGAGGATAGAGAGAACTTCCTGTCTGTGCTGCGCTTGACCATAAGCTCCTCCCTCAGAGGTCATCAGTGACCAGCAGGACCAGTGGTTTGAACATCTCACATTTTTATTGTTGGTTCTGGTGAAGGTTTTGACAGAAATATTATCAGGGTTCCAATGCAGTTTGGAAAATTCTGGAAAATTCTTGGAATGTTTGAAACATTTGTGTTTTCAGACTTTATGTTCTAAACAGACATATCTAATTAAAAATACTCCATCCGAAGCCGAACAATCGACTCGCGGTCGTGTGGTCGCACGTTTGTTTTCACACACCATTCGTAGTCCACGAGATACATATGGCCATTGGCATCAGAAACATTTGTAATGTGGGGGGACACACTGGTGGGGGGGTCTGGGGGTCCTCCTCTAAAATTTTGAATAAAGTAGATGCGATTTCCTGCATTTTGATGTATTTTAATGGGTTAAATTAAATGGGTTACCTACATATGTAAACATTCTGCTTCTGTCAAGCATCCTACCCCTCTCCCCCTTTACTTGATGGTTCTGACTCGTGAGCCCGACTCTGTTCCATGTCGTTGATGTCAGACTTCACATGTGAAACCTCCAGGCGCCTGCCTGCGGCTACCTGTAGACTCCAGTCTGCTTACAACTGCTCAGTTAGCTCGGCAGTCACCCCCACCACTCTTTTAGGGGCGGAGATTTTTTTTTTAATGGTTGAAGCAGAGATGCTACTCAAAGGGGCAGCTCGTAAGAAGCTCATGAGTGGCTGTTATCTTTAAAATTTGTGTTTATGTGATTATTTTCAGTTTACATATCTAATATGTTTTATTTGTTCAAGGCAGTAATGTTTGTTCATCACTTTATTATGTGTAAACCCGAGAGTTACTGGATACAAGCAAACAGTTACCAGAATGTACCCTGTCAAAATAAGAGTTCCCGGATCCTGTTCCAGCAGGATCCGGCTCAAATTAAGCACTGGTCCTCCACCAGAAAATACTGAATAAAGTAGATGTCATTTCCTGCATTCTGGTGTATTTAACAGGTTGTTAAACGTCTACATTTATCTCCGTAAGTAAACACTTTATTCAATAACTACTTTAGAGGGAGTATGGCACAATGCCCACCCCCCAACTCCCCCCGTAGACAACTGCCGGTATTAACGTAGTGCTAAGCGAGCGTAACACAATACAGACGAGCTAGCTAAGATGCTACAGATGTAGCGCTTCGCTTTTAGAGAGCATGGCACAATGCCCCACCCCCATACTGGTCAACAACTGCCTGCACTAACGTGACGCTAAGCTAGCGCACATTACAGAGGTGTCTCACCTCCTCCCCCCATCATGTCATGTGACATCAAATTTTCGACTTTCAGCTGTCATCTCACAGGGAGTGCAACCCTGTGTCCTTTTAAAAACCTGCCAATACTACAAAATACTAAAACCTTGAATGTACCCTAAGCGTTCTTAATTATTCTTATTCACAATATATATTTCCAAACACGGCGTGGCTTTTCAAACTCAAAAGTTTTGTCGAGTAAATTATAAAAAATGTAAATGAAATGTGCAGTTTGTTAGCATCGTGCTCCTTGATGGAGTGCATTTGAGTTGTTTATCTTTGTGCTTTTTATTGCAATTATACAAGGATACAAGGATTTTTATTGTCATTCACATCACATGTGGTACATGAGGTGGAACAAAACTATGTACACATATCATACTCTGGATCAAAATTTGATCCAAGAGCAGATAATAAGATCTATGTATATATTTCAAATTCATGGTAATTTGCCTCATTCTATTTTCCTGTTAAACAAACAAACAAACCTAATGTACTTTTCGGCCTATAAGTCACAGTTTTTTTGCGTAATTTACATGTCCTGCGACTTATAGGCCGAAGCGACATATTTATGGATTTTTTCCCATATTTATAAACCAATTTTTGGCTGAGATATGACTGTTTTCATTCATTCTGACTGAAAAAGAAAATTGAGCTGTACCACTTTCAGCCACTTGATGGCAGCAGAGTAATAATAGTTGTATCATGTGATAGGTAAACGTGGCTATAATGACAAATTCAAAAAAGTTCAAGACAAAATCAACTGGACTTTATTTATTATACTTTAAACTTTATTATTTTTGGCTTGAACTTTTTTGAATTTACCATTGTCCTGGATGACTGAGAATCTTCACCAGCTATTAATGACTCAATCGGCCTGCCTTAGTTTCCCCACCTGCATTCTACTCGTTGCTTGGAACAGTCAAAACAGCTGCACCACCCCAGCGAAATGCAGCTAATTTGACCATTAATGTGCATTTATTAAGCCAACTTTAGACTGAGACATACCTTTGCTATAAATTTGATCAAACAAATAATTTAGGTGTTATCTTGTTAAATTTTAAAGAAATGCAACAGCTGCCCCAGCTGCGCATGCACGCTTTGCATCACCAGGCCATCAAAACTATTTTTTTAAATGGAGCTGATTTGACCATAAAAGTGCATTTATTAAGCAAACGTTTGACTGATACACACATTTACTATGATTTCAAGCAAACAAATAATTGTTTTGAGGCGTTTATCTTGTTAAATGTGCACAGCAACTCGTCACATGCACGCATTTACTTCTGCATATCTGGTTTTGAAATACAGCTGATTTCACCCTCAAAGTACATTTATTAAGAAAACGTTAGACTGAGTCAGTCAGAGAGTCAGAGTCAGAGATTCTTTGTCATTCGCACCTCATGAGGTACATGTGGTGGAGTGAAGTTATGTACACAGGGTCCCAGTTACATCCAACAATAAAATGTAAAAGAAAAACGGTAATAACATCCAAGATATGAACTAAGAAAAACATCAACTAAATATACACTAAGCACTCATAACATAAAACATCGAACATTAGCACAAACATGAACACGAGTCCATGTAAGCAGATGAGCACACATGAACACACCAACATTGAAACAGATCAGCAGCAACATTGAAACAGATCAGCAGCAACATGATGTGCTTTTTCTCACATTGATTATTCTGGTTAGAGATTCATGAGTCTAACAGCTTCAGGGTAGAATCTGTTCCTCAGTCTAGTGGTTCTACACTAAATGCTTTTCAACCTCCTTCCTGAGGGGAGTGGGGCAAAAAGTGTGTGTGCTGGGTGAGTGGGGTCCTTCATGATGCAGGTGGCCCTCTTCCTGCATCTGGAGGTGTAAATGTCTGTGATGGTGGGGAGACTGGCTCCGACAGTCTTCTGTGCAGCCTTCACCACTCTCTGCAAAGCTTTTCTTTCTGCAGCTGTGCAGCCTCCATGTCACACATTGATGCTGGAGCACAGGATGCTCTCCACTGCACACCTGTAGAAGGAGGTGAGGACCGAGCTTTCCAGACCAGCTCGTCTCAGCTGTCTGAGGAAGTAGAGTCTCTGATGAGCTTTCTTGATCAGGCTGGTGGTGTTGTTGCTCCAGCTGAGGTTGTCATTCATGTGTACACCCAAGTACTTTTAGCTGGAGACCACTTCCACTGCAGATCCCCTTATGTTCAGGAGGGTGTAGGTGTTTTTGTTCCTTCTGAAGTCCACAATCATCTCCTTTGTCTTCTTCATATTGATGTGAAGGTTATTCTCTTTGCACCAGCTCTCCAGGTGTTCCACCTCTTGCCTGTAGCTGGACTCATCATTGTTTGTGATGCATCCTACCACTGCTGTGTCATCTGCAAACTTTACAATTTGACAGCCTGGATGGGTAGCTGCACAATCATATGTGAGCAGAGTAAACAGGAGGGGGCTCAACACACATCCCTGAGGAGAGCCAGTGCTGAGGGTTATGGTGGAGGAGGAGAAGTTGTGGATCCTCACTAACTGTGGTCTGTTTAAGAAGTCTAGTACCCAGTTGCAAATGGAGGGACCCAGGCCCAGTGTGAATAGTTTGTCCATCAGGGTTTGGGGGATCATGGTGTTGAAGGTGGATGTGAAGTCCACAAAGAACATACGGACGTAAGAGTCCTTCTGATCCAGGTGAGTGAGCGCAGTGTGGACCGGAGAGGAGATGGAATCCTCTGTTGATCGGTTCTCATGGTATGCATACTGATGAGGGTCCTTGTTGATGGTTGTTTTGATGTGAGTCATAACCAGTCTTTCGAAGCATTTAACGACTATCGGGGTGAGGGCTACTGGCCGATAGTCATTCAGACCAGTCACTTTAGAGCTTTTTGGGACTGGGATGATGGTGGCAGTCTTCAGGCAGGTGGGAACTGTCTCCAGGGTAAGTGAAGTGCTAAAGATTTCTGCCAGCACCTCGCAGAGCTGATCGGCACATTCTTTCAACACTTTTCCGGGGATGTTGTCTGGGCCAGCTGCCTTGTGCGGATTTATTCTCTTGAAAGTACTCCTTACTTCTGCTGAAGTCACGCTGAGATGCTTTTCATCCGGTGGTGAGGCAAGTCTGGTGGTTTGTTCGTGTCTTCAAAGCGTGCATAGAACTTGTTGAGGGCATCAGGCAGAGATGGGTCTTTGGGGCATTGTTCACTCCTTACTTTATAATCTGTTATGCATTTAATGCCCCTCCACATGCTCCAAGGGTCTTGCTAGATGAATTGATCCTCGATCCTCTCTGCATATGTGGCCTTGGCCTTCTTAATACCAGCAACCAGCTCTTTCCTTGTCCTACTCAGCTCCTCTGAGTTTCCAGACCTGAAGGCAGTGTTCCTGGCTTCCAGCAGGGTGCGTACCTCTACATTTAGCCAAGGTTTTCTGTTTGGGTAACTTTTAACGTATCTTATGGTGGAGACAATGTCAGTACATATATTAATGTAACCCAGAACTGAGGATGTGTATTGGTCCAGATCAAGCGATCCTTCATTTTCAGCAGCTTCTCTGAAAACCTGCCAGTCTGTTCGATCAAAACAATCTCTCAGTATGGGGCCACTGTCCTGGATCCAACATTTAACTTTCTTTTGTACTGGTCTGGAGCATCTCAGCAAGGGGCATGTAAGCAGGAGCCAGGAAGATTGAGATGTAGTCTGACAGTCCTAGGTGGGTGCGGTGTACGGCTTTCTATGCATCTTTTACGTTTGTCTAAACACGGTCCAGCGTGTTGTTTCCACATCTTGGAATTGCCACATGTTGATTAAAGCTTGGGAGAAAGTCCTTTAGATTCACTTGATTAAAGTCTCCGGCTACAATGTAGAGAGCCTCAGGGTGTTTGTTCTGCAGCAAGCTGATTATATCATGTAGCTCCTGTAGTGTTTCATTAGCATTAGCATCCGGAGGAATGTAAATAACTGTTATGAAAGTCACTGTGAACTCGCGGGATAGATAATGTGGCCGACATTTCACTGTTATTTGCTCCAAAGCTTTCGAGCATGAGCTATTTACAACAGTACAATTCGTGCACCAACTTTTACTCATGTAAATGCACACTCCGCCTCCCTGTGATTTCCCCGTTAGCTCGCTGCAGCGGTCCACTCAAAAAGAAAAGTCTGTCATCCAGCTGTAAGACTGTATCCGGCATTTCGCTTGTAATCCACGTTTCTGTGAGGCAAAGCACCGCACACTTCTTCATCTCTTCTGAGGCGCTCGCTCTCAGACGAAGCAAATCCATCTTGTTGTCTAACGAGCGGACGTTCGACAGAAAGAGAGACGGCATCGGGAGTTTTCCGGATTTAGCGTTAGCTCATCGCCTCACCATAATCTCGCCCGGCATCCTCTCCTCTCAAGCCGGGAGCAGCGCTTTCTCTTCTGCCTGCTGGAACGCCTCTGTTACAGCTTCCAGGTAGATGACTTTAAGATCTGCATTCTTCCAAGCCTAGTTTTGAGTTTGTTGCTGATTTCTGATATGTTTCATGGCAAATCCGCTCCTATTCTCATCAATTCAGTTCGGCTATAGTTCACGCGCATAAATCGTGCAAAGTCAGGCACAGAGTCAATATCAAAACTTCTAAAAACTGGGATAGTACCGGGAGCCTGTGAAGCTGCAACTGCTCTGAGTGCGGCCATCTTGGCAGAGATACACCTTTACTATAATTTCGAGCAAACAAATAATTGTTTTTAAGTATTAATCTTGTTAAATTCTTGTTAAGGTCCTCCCGTGCACGCTTCCGCGGCTGCCATTTGGCAGCCCATCAGTTTTTGGCACAACACCGGTCCACATTTCCGGGATGTCAGCAGTGACACGTAACAAACACAACGTGTCAGCGGTGACGCATAATAGATGCGCCGTATACGGCAAAGCGACATATTTATGGATTTTTCCACTTTATTAGACAAATATGGACTGATGCGAGTTCTAGGGCGGAGAGACGTGTACGGTGAAAAATACGGTAGTATTGAGTAATTCACAGATTTTTATTGTAGTTTGCTCTTTTTTCTGTTATATCACTTTGAATCAATATAGGAACCATTTTTCTGATTGAAAGTAGAAAAAGTTTTTATTGGAATCAAAAAATACCACTAACGTCACATTTTTAAAGCAAATCACTATGAAGGAGCTGCAACGCTTCTATGCTGTACATTATTGCCACAGTGTATGTGTCCCGTACATAGAAATGGACTAACGGTTGTTTCACCGTCAAGTCTCTTATCAGATACAGTCACGGTACAGAAATACAATAAACATGATTCAACATCACAACCGTTGAACACTGTGATTGTTCTGCTTCTGTTTGATTGAACACATCCTCATACTAATCTGTTGCAGCAGAATATTATTTCACAAGATTTGAGTGTTTTCCTACAGCGTGTGCGCTCTGAGCTAAATGCAACACATTCAGAGCACCGTGAGTGAACATCTGGGCAACAAGCAGTTTTTATTCAAAACACTCGAGTTAATGAGCAGGATGGTTTGTCTGCATCTCAACAGTGATGTCACAGTCTCCGGTTCATTAGATTTGGGTTGTTGTTGTTGTGAGTCGAAGCTGGCTCCCTCCCTGTGGTCATTTGAGTCTGCAGCTGTGGACTTTTACTTTGCGGTCCTGGGCTTGCTACTGCGCCGTTGGTGCCTTTTTGGGAGCTGGAACCTTTTGGTTTGGGAATCCTGGTCGGTCCTGGACGTCGGAATGCTTCTAGAGGGATCTGTAGGAGAGATATCTTGATTAAAACAAGAAACAGTTTATATATATAGTTTATATATATCAGAAATGGTTTGCAGATTTGACTAGAAGCAATTTTAGGATGCTGCAGTTCTAATAAAAACCAGTAGATGGAGACAAATCATGTTTCATGGAGCTAAAATGACCTTGTGATTACTGCTCCTCATCAGGTGCAAATAACATGACATAGTATGAATGTTTATGAAGTGATCCATTTTTCTTCTGTACATTTTTTTGGTGTGGTTCTCATCCTGCAGTTTTCAAGCTATTTCAACAAATCATATATCAAAACATTCAGCTCTTTCAGGACAATATTGCTATGACTTCTGGTATTGGTGCAACTTTAGCTTTTTGAAATTGAGCATTTTCTGCCACTTTTTTCTCATAGAAAATGAATTGAGCTCATTTTACATCCTTCAAATCTTTAGATCTGTTTACAACCTTTTACTGCTCCTTTCACATTTTGTTCTGGTTCAGTGTCTTCCAGCTTGTGCAAATTTAAACCTTTTTTTCAGCAACCTTCAGCTGTTTTTCACCTGCTTTGTGCTCCTTTCAGATTATTTCTAACTACATTTTTGTGCTTCTTCTAACTTCTTCAAGCCAATTTCAGCTTGTTATGCTCCTTTCAACTTATTTATGCAAGTTTCAGCGTTTTTAGCTGTTTCATGCTAATTTAAGCCTTTTCAGCTAATTCCACATTTTTTGCACTCATTTAAACTTTTTTCAGCCTGATTTAGCAACAATGTGCTCTCTCCTCTTCCTTCTGGCGATTTCAGCTTCTTTCTGCAGTTTTTTTTTTTTTTGTTCTTGTTGCTAATTTTAGCTTTTTTCAGAAAACTTCTACTTTTTGTGCTCATTTCTGCTCCTTTGAGCCTAATTGGACAAATGTGTTCTTTCTGTTTTCTTTTGCTAATTTAAGCTTATTCAACCTTTTCAGCTAACTTTTTAGATTTTTTTTAAGCTAATTTCAGCCATTTTCAGATAAGTTCAAGTTCTTTGTGGTAATTTTTGCTACTTTCAGCTTAATTACCTTCTTTACGCTAATTTCAGCTTGTTATACTCCTTTCAGCTTTTTTCAGCTACTTTCAACTTTTGCTGCTATTTCAGCTACTACTTAACTGTTTTATGCTCATTTTAAGTTTTTCAGTTAATTCCATTTTTTTTAGCTCATTTCAGATCTTTCCTCGTCTTGTAGGTTAAGCTTCATTCTGCCTTTTCAGCAACTTTTTTTTTTTAGATGTTTTTTTGCAAATTTTAGGTTTTTTTTTTTTCTCAGCTGATTTCCCAAGTTTTGTGCTACTTTCTGCTTATTTAAACATAATTCAGCTAATATGTGTACTTTCTTCTCCTAATTTAGGCTTGTACTTAATTTCAGCTACCTTTCAGCTAGTTATTTTGCAGCTAATTTCAGCTGTTTCTCAGCCGGTTCTTCAGCAATAAGCATTCACACTGCATTTTCACAGTAAATGCAATTTGTCTAGTTTACAGTTATTCTTCTGTGCAGAAAATATAACAGTGAGTTGATGAGCATGCATCAGGAAACAGTGAGTGTTGTTTGTGCATTCTTGCCATAGAAAATCACTGTTAAGGAAATAACCGTACTGAATCAAGTTGCAGACTAAGTGTTTCAGTTAGAAATATTTTACCTGTTGTGCTCAAATAAAACAAAACTTAAAAACCAAGCATACATTGAAGGAATGCAAATTACTGCTCACTCCAGAGTTTTAGACAAAAATCCTGCTATGATGAGAAATGATGAAGGAAAAGCCATTTTAGGGTTCACTAATAGAAGATGAACATCCAGTGATTCATTTCTGAGAGTTTCACTGACAATTGTCCAGGGGTTATAAGATATTTTGCTAACAGTGCAGACAATCAAATACACAGTAAAAACATCAATAATTAACTATATTAAAATCAAATTGCATAATTGTTTAAATTAATTCACCTCCTGTGCTGAATAAAACATCTAAACGTCCAGTGGGAGTGTTCTGAAGACGGGAGAGGATTTTCCTCTAATCGAGCGCTGAAAGACGCATAGAAACCCACGTTTGGCTGTTTTCTGCAGCTCAAGCTTCAAACGAGACAAGAAACTCCCCTGAGCAACATTATCCTTCTCGTGTTCCTAAACAACTCGCTGCTCCATTTACGAAGCCATCACATTTTAATCGGTGTGTTTATACGTGCGGCAGCGACGAGCCAGCATGCTGACGTTCAGAGCCGTGCAGCTTATTTACAGGAGCTCCGGCGCACGGCTCCGACACGCACGCTGAATACATGTTGTGTTTTGTTTAGTTTAATTCAGGCTAATTGTCACCTCCATTAATTCACCTCCACCTCAGTTATTACTGGATGTACCTTTACACATGATTGCCTTTGGGAGATGATCCAATTCAAGATGGCTGCCACAACCAACTGACTTGAAATAACATGAAAAGTCTATATCTCAGTGAATTTTACAGATATTGAGCTAAAATTGTCTGTATTATTTTTATTTTTATTTACCCTTTATTTATACAGGTCGTCTCATTGAGCCATGAGAACTCATTTTCAAGAGAGACCTGTTTAGGAGCAGATGGTGGGGGGTTAAGGGCTTGCTCAGGGGCCCAGAGTGGGGCAAATGAGGGTGGAGGCAGGTGTGGGTGTTCCACCTTTTCCACACACTTTGTTGTTGACGTTACCGGGAGTTGAATTTGCGACTTTCTGATCACAGGCCCATCTTCTAACCTCTGCGCCACCACTCCCCCATTAGTATCTAATAGTTATACAACCCATGCTGTCAGTGCTACACATTGATGTTCTTTGTTTAAAATTTTAGTGATAACTTTGGGCGTCACCACTGTTTGTCTGTAAGCAAAATATCTCATAAACCACTGAACAGAGTTTATTGAAATTCTCAAAAATAATCCAAGAAAGTTCAGTCAGTTCCTCTGGATGTTTTTTTTTAATTGAGACATTTTGTCCTTCATCCAAAAAACTTCATCAGTCCAAGGAGCCACAACAAACTTTGAGTCCCACAAGCAGCACCCTCACATAGTGGACCAACCAGTTTGCTGTTGATAAGATGGTTTCTGGGGCCCACCCTCTCCTTCATCGACTCATCTGAGGCAGCCATAGTCAAACTGGTTCAAAACAACAAAGTTCATGCTCAATAATCCAGGTAAAAAATCCAACAAAGTTCAGTCAGGTCATCTCGATGTTTTTTTTTTTTTTGAGACATTTCGTCCTTCATCCAAAGGACTTCATCAGTCTGAGAAGCCACAAACAAACTCAGTCCCACAAGCAGCACACTCCCATAGTGGACCAACCAGTCTAAAAAAAAAAAAGAAACCATCCAGATGACCTGACTGAAATTTGTTGGATTTTTTTACCAGGATTATTGCGCATGAACTTTGATGTTTTGAACCAGTTTGACTATGGCTGCCTGAGAGGAGTCGATGGAGGAGAGAGCGGGCCCCAAAAACCATCTTATCACCAGCAAACTGGTTGGCCCACTATGTGAGGGTGCTGCTTGTGGGACTCAGTTTGTTGTAGCTCCTTGGACTGATGAAGTCCTTTGGATGAAGGACGAAACGTTTCAGCAAAAAAAGAATCCATCCAGAAGATTTTACTGAACTTTGTTGGGTTTTTTTTTGGGGGGGGGGGGGGGGGGGGGGGGGGGGGATAATTGAGCATGAACTTTGATCTCAGAAATAATGTGTGGATTTGAGTCCACATCGGATTAACTTTTGGAGTTAATCCACTTTAATAAGCCAACACAGAAATTGATGCAACTCTTTAGGTTTTGCAGATATTGAGCTAAATCTAGCTAGCTGTGTCTTTCATAACACACATTATGAGCGAGACATCTCATATTCTCAAAGTTCAACCCAAATTATTACTCCATCATTTCTCAACAGAAGACTGTCTCGATTCTGAAGCTCTTGGCGAGTGATGTGCGTTTCTTCAAATAATCTTAAGCCTTCATTTGATGAATAGGATGCATTGATTTATGTAAACAGCTCCTACTCATGGGAGAAAATATCCAAAGAACTTTTGGACTCTTTGGCGTTTAAAGCTCTTCGTTACTTCACAGCTGGCACCAAACAGTTTTCTCCTTGATCGTGCTGTTGCCGTTTCTTCCTTTTCCTCTCCGAACGCTTCTGCAAAAGTTAACGGTTGTTGTGCAAACTGTTCCAAGCCCGTCTGAGTTAATACTCCTGCAGAATGTTGAGGTTCTCCGAATGTCTTCTTTCAAATTTGGAGCGGATTTATTCTGTTTGACAGAACGTGTCATCAATGTGGTCTGTGCAAAACTGAAACGTCTCAGTATTTCCACCAGTTTCATCACACAGCTGCCCGCTGAAACTCCTCCATGTCACATAGGTGGTAAAATGTAAAGAATTACCGAACCCCTCCAGTAAGTTACCTAACTTTAAATATTCATATGAGGAGCTAACGGGCCAGAAACTGTCTTCACGTCATGGGAGTCGCGTTCATTTTTCACAAAGAAAAGGCGAGCAGCTTTGTTTTGTCGTGCAGGAGAACTTCCTCTGTTCTCTGCTCTGCAACACCAGCATGGCTGTTGCCGTAGCAACCAAACACAAGATTTGTTTTGGTGCTCATTTTATGCTGGGAGATGTGCAGATGCTGTGAGAGTAGCCGAAGGCTTTCTGCTGCTAAAAAAAAAGTTAGTGTGGTAGTAGCTGACGCTCACCCTCATCTCACATTCTGAGTCCTAACTGACTGAGCAAGATATTTGTTTAAAAATATGCATTTAGCTACTTAAAGTCAACTTTGCCCGTTTGTTAGCAAAGTATTTTATGCACCACTGAGTGGGTTTTATTTAGACTTTCAAGAAACATTCAGTGGATGCACATCTACAACTGATTTAATTTTGGAGCCGACCCAATTCAAGATGGCCGCCACAGCCAATTTGCTACTTAGATTCTTACGAATCAGTCATAACTCATGTTTATAATATTGTTTCCAAAATTTTGACAA